ACCCCGTGACCGTGGTAAACCCCAAGGCAAAGACGGAGAGGACTTCACACAACACTGCACTCTGGGGGCAAATCTGCTTCCCTAAGGGACTCGAGTCAGCAATTCCGAAGTACTTTCCATGCACACAAAGGGTGCACAGTAAATAAGTTGCAGGTAAGGGAGTCAGGACGCATCCCCCTCCCCACGCCGTCCAAGAAAGAGGTTACAGAAAAGCGGGGAGAATGAGCGGGAGTCAGAGACCTGATGTGAACGCATGTTTACTCTAGGAAAATGGTCAGATACAGAAATAAACAGGATGTGCGCACGTGGTCAGTACACACATCTGCCTCCCAGCTCCGTCCACTGCACGGGCTTAGCAGAGCTGCTCAGCCGCTGACACTGCGTCCATCCTCCTGTGGGGGGCTGTCCTGGGCTCAGCAGGCCGTGCGGCACCATCTCTATCCCACCCACCAGACAGACGCCAGGTGCACCTCCCAAGCCCCAATATGACAACCAGAATTGTCTCCAGACACTGTCGAATGTCTCCTGCAGGCAAAATCGCCCCCGGAACCACCGGCCTAGAAGGAGCAACACCCCAGGAGCAGTGAGCACAGCCCTAGCCAGACCTCGGGTCCAGATGCCATTCTCCAGGAAAGGGAACCATGGATTTCTTGAGAAATGTCTCAACAGCTGATTCCAGGGCTAGGGCTGGCAAAGTCTGGGACGGACCAGGACTGTCTGGTAGTGCCAGAAAGCCAAGGAGTGCTGGGGGGTGGAAAGTCAACAGGACACAGGGAAAGAGGAAAGAGCTGGAACAATCTGGGCACAAAAATAAATAAAAGCATTGAGTTATAGCCTAAGGGATAAAGTAGGCCCCCACGAGTGCACACGGCTGGAAATCAGCGCCTGAGCAGATAAGTAAGTGGGGAGAGAGACAAACCTTCCTTACAGAAGAACCCCAGGTAACACACGCCGCCAGGTGGAGCCCAGTCACCCTCCCCGGGCTGGGGGGAGACGGACCTGGGGACCAGAGTAGGGACGGGGAGATGGCCCGGACAGCGGGGAGGCTGCAGACACCACCCACCCAAGCGAAGGGGGCGGCATCACCGGTGCTGAGCCACGAGGACTCCGCTGCCCCGAGAGGACGGGACGAGGGGCAGCTCACCTCTGCACCTTCCTCCCAAAACCCACGACCCCAGTCTGGTCACGAGAAGACACCAGGCAAACCCAAACCACAGGGCCCTGGACAGAACACTTGGCCAGTTCCCCTCAGCAGTGCCACGGACGTGAGAAACCGCCACAGACCGGAGCAGACCAAAGAGACGGGACGAGCGAATGCAGGGTGGTGCCCTGGAAGGGAACCGGGGCAGAACAGGGGCGTTTGTGGAAAAGCTGGCACAACTGGGTCAAGAACCGTGCACCAGGCCGGGCGCGGTGGCTCACGCCTGTAATCCTAGCTCTCTGGGAGGCCGAGGCGGGCGGATTGTTTGAGCTCAGGAGTTTGAAACCAGCCTGAGCAAGAGCGAGACCCCGTCTCTACTAAAAATAGAAAGAAATTAATGGGACAACTAAAAATATAGAGAAAAAATTAGGCGGGCATGGTGGCGCATGCCTGTAGTCCCAGCTACCCGGGAGGCTGAGGCAGAAGGATCGCTTGAGCCCAGGAGTTTGAGGTTGCTGTGAGCTAGGATGACACCACGGCACTCTAGCAACCGTGCACCAATCTGCCGTCCCGATTCTGACGAACATGTCATGGTTACCTAAGATGCTCCTAACTGAGGGGAACACAGGAACCAAATCTAAAAGCATTCCTAAATAAAAGGGTTTGCAAATGACTGCAGCTAGTATGCAGAAATACTAAAAGTGATTTTAATGTGTTAATTGCATGCAATGGCCTTGTGAAATTCACTCAATTCAAATACTGTGCTTCTAGATCATTCTGCACGTTCCATGTGCAGTGTCATATCATCTTCAGATAACGACTGTTTCACTCATTCCTTTCCAATCTTTATACATCTTACTTCTTTTTCTTGCCTTATTGCACTGGCTAGGACTTTTAGAATGATCTTGCAAAGAAGTGATGTTGGATGTCCTTGTCTAACCTAATCTCAGGGGTAAAATGTTCCACTTTTTATATTACTTATAATGTTGGCTGTAGAGACACTTAACCGCAATAACGAAGTTCCTTCCGGTAGAGCGTGTGTGAGTCGTGACACTAGGCCTGACCGGTCCCAGCCTTTGACCAGATCAGCCCCCAAACTGCCAGCTCGCGGAGTGAACCGTCACCCAGAGCGGTGACCAGGCCTGTCTCGCGTGCAGGCGCTAAATCCCCCAGCCGGGCTGGGACGGAGCGCACGTCACGTCGCGTCACGTCGCGGGGGGACACGGAGCCAGCACGCGCACGTCACGTCGGGGGGACGCGCTCGGGCGCTTAAGACCCAGAGGAGGGGCGGGAGCCTTCTGGAGCTGGCCTTCCAGACACGACGTGGGCGGCGACTACAGGGCACCGCACATGCGTAAAAACGAATCGAACCCTACGCGCACTGGGGACGCGGGGCCGTATCATGCACCTCGGCTAAACGGGTTTGAAAATACAGCCACGCTTGCTTTGAGGTTCCTTCCATCACGCGAGGGCTGAACCTTGCTCCACGTCCTCGCGGCCTGGGAGGCCAAAGCAGGCACTAGAAAACCGAGACGGGAGCGCAGACCGGGTCGAACTTCGCGGGCCGGAGGGGGCGGGGCGGAGGGGGCGGACCGGGCGGTGGGAGGGTCGTGTAGACCCGGCTCCGACGGCGGACTGCGGCGCAGGATCCTCAAAGCGCGTGCGGGCGGCCCTCACTGCGCCCGCCTCGCTTCTCCGGCGGCACCGCGACCCCAGCGCGCCCGGCCCGGCCCCGGGATGCTGCTCCGGCCCCGGCGGCCGCCTCCGCTCGCGCCGCCGTCGCCGGCCAGCCCCGACCCCGAGCTGCAGTCCGCCGCGGAGGCCCCGGGGACCCCACCTGGGCGGCGCGCCTCGCCAGACGCCCTGGAAGAGCCCGTGTCGCCCGTGTCCCCAGGCTCGGCTCAGCGCACGCCCTGGAGCGCTCGGGAGACGGAGCTGCTGCTGCACACGCTGCTGCAGCCGGCCGTGTGGCGCTCGCTGCTGCTGGACCGCCGCCAAACCCTGCCCACCTACCGCCGCGTGTCCGCCGCGCTGGCCCGCCTGCAGGTCCGGCGCACGCCCGCGCAGTGCCGCCGCCGCTACAAGTTCCTCAAGGACAAGCTCCGCGAGGCGCAGGGCCAGCCGCCCGGGCCCTTCGACGCGCAGATCCGGGAGCTCATGGGCCTCCTGGGCGACACCGGGCGCAAACGGCCCCGCCGCCCCGGGCGCCCCCAGCGCGGCCGCCGCCCGGCCGCCAGCGCGCCCGCGCCCGCGCCCACCCCGGGCGAGCCAGGTAGGCGGGGGAGGAGGGGGCTGCGGGAGGGGCGGCCGGCCACCCGGGTCCCCCGTCCGACCACCCGCTCTGCGTTCCCAGGTGTCATGCCGCTGCCAGCCGCCCGCGACCCCAGTGCGGACCCCGCCTGGACGCTCAGGTTTAGCCCGTCTTCGCCAAAGTCTGCGGACGCCTCCCGCGCCCCCTGCTCTCCGCCAGCCCCCACCCCGACCGCCCTCTCCAACTTCGTCTCGGGGCCCGGCAGCCCCCAAGACCACGTGCCTGTCCGCGCCCCCGCCTCCCCGCCGTCGCCAGCCCCCCACCCCACCCAGGAAGACTCAGACTCGCCACCCGGCCGCCCCGAGGACCGCGCGCCCCCGCAGGCCGCGCCATCGCTGAACGCCGCCCTGATGCAGACCCTGGGGCACCTGGGCGACATCGTGGCCGTCCTAGGCCCGCTGCGCGACCAGCTGCTGACCCTGAACCAGCACGTGGAGCAGCTGCGTGGCTCCTTCGACCAGACCGTGTCCTTGGCCGTGGGCTTCATTTTGGGCAGCGCGGCCGCTGAGCGTGGTGTCCTGCGGGACCCGCGCGAGTGAGGTCAGGCCCACGCCACCCCCGTCCAGGGCCGAGCCCCTCCCCCTGACCTGCCCTGCAGCCTCCCCCACTCCCAAACGGAGGTACGTTCAATAAAAAGGTTGCTTTCTTGGACTTAACCTTGTGAATGCGTGTGGTGTGGGCGGGCTGGTTGGGTAGGAGCGGCTCCCTGCGGGGTGGGCGCTGCGAAGGTCAGGGCAAAGTTAAAATGCCTCCGGATCCTGGCGGGGGCGGAGCCGCTGGGAGGCCATATTCCGTCGTGGTGGCTAATGTCGGGGCCCCTGCTGCACGCCAGCTCCTCGAGGCCACACCGGAACTTGCCACCGGGAGTTCCCCTCCGCACAGGCCAGCTGGTGGGCAAGGGCTGTCCCCGCCGTCCTGGGAGCCCACCTGAACAGACCCAAGGGGGAGGTCGGGCCCACTGGGGGTCCCTAAGGGGCGGGGTGCGAGGTGAGTGTGCCGCGTCCAACTTGCCCGGCAAGGCGAGCCCTTCCGACCCGGGTCCACGGTCGGGGTTCCTGAGCTGCAGCCACAGCTGCACGGGTCTGGGAAACAGGCCCCTGGCAACAGCGGAGGAAGAGGAGCTGAGGGCAGCTCTGGGAAAGGAGCCGGTTTCGTACCCAGGGAGAGACTCTGGCGTAGGTGGGCCCTAGGAGGCACTCAGTGGTCGAGGCTGGGGTCGGGGTCCTTGCAATTTGGGAGAACCTAAACAAACTCACCCCAGAGCATTTTTTAACTAGCCTGGAGAAGGCTCCACCCTGGACCTTGAGTCAGAGGAGTGGAGAGCGGCTGGGTGGGGCCAGAGACCAGGGTGGAGCGGGAGAAACTTGGCTCGCATAACAATGTGTGCTCCGGCAGAGTGATGGCCCCACTTTACAAATAAAGGGCCCCATCAGGAGAGACTGGCGATTTGCCCCGGGCCACGGTGCAGCTCAATGCAGGGTGGGGGTGCCCGCTGGTCGGCACGGTGTGGTCCCGAGAGTTTCACAGGGTGGGGGGCCCAGCGTCACAGGCCCTCCCCCAGGTCCTCGCTGCCCTGAGGCAGCTTCTGGGGAAGTGAGTCCTGGCACCGCCCTGGGTCCTGGAGAGACCGAGTCTGAGAGAATAGACGGCGTCAGCGCGTTTAGACTCGGCCTCCGCTCCACCCTGCTGCGTTCCCTGAGGACCTCCAGCTGCCAAAAGCTTGTGAATGAGCCAAGCTTCCAAGCAGCACCCCCAGCCCCCCACACACACACCCCGCAGGTCAGAGCCACCGGCCAGGGGACACTGGGGATTTGAGACAGCTTCGGTGCCTCCGCCTCGACCCCATCGATCTAAAAAGTTCTGCCTCGGAGCTAGCCCAGGTCCAGGTGAGCACATCCCAGCAAACACCCGACACCCCAAGGGCAAGGGCCGTGGAGCGTGTCTGTCCCTTGGTCACGTGGACCCTCTGCCCTGAAGGAGGGCTGTCCTTTGGGGCCTGTAAGAGGTCAGCCTAAGCTTCTGAGCCACAGCTATTTGGGGGCACCAGGCAGAAGCATCTGCCTTTCTGCTCACAGGGCGGGGAGAGGGGTGGGAGACAAGCTGTGGCTTCTGTCTCTGCCTCCTGTTGGAGTAACGAGTCTGAACACTCCCGCCCTGGTCCCTGTCGCCTTCCAATCCGGGGAGGGGTGCGTATGGGCTGTTTAAATCGCTCTAGGTTTACAGTGAGATTAGCCTTCTGTGTGTGGTCAGACATGGCCAGCACCGGCCCAGCTCACCAAGCTCTGAGGCTCTTCCCTCAGTCTTTGCTGCCCCCACGTGATGCCCAGGTGAGGCCTGTCTCCACCACCGGAGGCGAACACAGACTGGGGGTGCATCCCTGGCCTCAGCTCAGGAGAGCAGGGCTGGGTCCCCGGGGCCAGTGCCCCTGCTGTCCGGCTATGGACCCCTGGTCAGCAGATTCACACCTTTCTTTTAAATTGTAGCAAAATGCACATAACACAAACTCTGGCGTTGAAAACATTCTACTTTGGTGCAGCTGCCACCACCATCCACCCTCCCCATCTCCCTCCCCAGCCCCCAGTAACCACCGTCCTCCTATTCGCCCTACTGCCTGCTCTGAATCTGAGTGATCCAGGTACTTCCCGTCAGGAGAACCTGACATCTTCGTCTCTGTGTCTGGCCATTTCAATTAGCAATACAGGTCCTCCGGGTTCTCCCTGTAGCATGGGATGGGATCTCCTGCCTTTTCAGGCCGAATAATACTCCGTTGCAAGTATGTCCCACATTGTGTTTACCCACTCACCTTTCAGTGCGCACTTGGGTTGCGCCCATGTTTTAGCCGCTATGAACCATGCTGCTGTGAACATCGGTGTACGCATGTCTCCTAGAGACCCTGCTGCTAATTCTTTGCATGTACGTCCAGGAGAATTGCTGGATCACATGACAATTCTGTTTTTAATTTTTGGAGGAACCACCACCCCGTTTTCCGTGACAGCTGCACCATCCTACATTCCCACCACCAGTGCCCAGGGTTCCAGCTCCGCACATCCCGCCATACTTGTTATTTTCCGCTTTTTGGTAGTGGCCATCCCAATGGCGGTGAGGTTTACTGACTGTTGTCACAGCATGTGGAGATACAGAAACACCTTTTCTCTGACCAGGAAGGGATGCATGGTGCCTTCTCGCCCCACTGCGTGGGGGACCCTCCAGCTCCTGCTGTTCTGCGGGTGCCAAGGGCCTGTGCTCTGGATCTGCCACACACGGCACTGCGCTTTTCCCATGCCACCTTGCCCGTCTGGGCTCCCCTTTAACTGCCCTCGTGTTCAGAACCTACTTGTCCAGCAGCTGACTGCTGTCCTGAGTTGGAGCACAGGTGACCCCGGAAGTGCACTGAGGTGTGCACTGGGCTCACTGCTTTGGATGTGGCCTGTCTAGCCTGTGCCCTCTGCACACAAGCTCAGACGGGGCCCTGCGTCACCGCCTTGGTGCCACCCATCGTTTCTCAGGACGGAGCGGGTCCCACCAGGACAAGGAGCTCATCCCTTGTAGTGGCCCCAGGGCCGTTATGCCTGGACAGTGGCAGGGACTGGGGGGTGCCAGAGTCGTGATGTTTTTACAGCCTGTTTAGTGCAGCAAGCATCCCTGCTGTCAGCTTTGTCTAGCAATACGGTGCACTGGTTATAAGAGAATAGCTAAATGTTAAATTTCTTCCAAATTACTGTCTCTTCTATATTTGCTCCTCTAGTTATTTCATCTGCATGAGGCTCCGCCAGGAAATGTTCCGGAAACTTGAACACCCTCCGACCCCTGCTGCAATGCAGCGAATCTCCAGGGCCGCCTCCCGTGCTCGCTGGGTGGGCTCTGACATCCAAATCCCTTTCCTCACCAGAGAACACACCCCTGAGATTTGGTGAACCTTGTTTGTGCTCCGTAAGACTTGCAAGGAGACAGGGAAGCCCCTCTGTGTCCCCCAGGCTCTGAGTGTCCACCTGAGCTCCCTTCTTGCCTAACTCACCAGTAACACCTCAGATCTGTTCCCACGGTGTGCCTGTGCCGGGCCCCAGCAGCAGCCCCTCGTCCCTGGCCTGGCTGCGCAGCCCTGGCTTGGTCACCGTGATGCCCACCAGGGCTCCTTCCATCCCCCTGTCATGTGCAGGTGTTCTCCAAAATTGTCATCATCGCGATGATCTGCACCCAGTAAAATCCTAACATTTTTTGTTCTTCCGATTTTTCATAGAAAATGGCTTCCCAGTGCCTCACCTGGCTGCAGCCCAACACCTCCCTGTCCCCTGTGTGGGTTCCGGGGTTCAGCTCCCTCCACTGCCCCTTCCAAGGCCTGTGGACACGTGCAGGTCCCTCCCCTCCCCCGAAGCTGGTAGGTGCAGACTCGCTGACAGCCGGTTACCCACGTATGGGTGATGATTCTTTGTGGCACCCTTATTTGATGGTCAGCTGTGAGTTCTCATCCACATTGACAGTCTGCAGATTTCTGGAAGTGGTGACAACCACACAGCTGACCAAAGCACAGAGCTTCTCTGGTGAGTCTTCGCCTCATATGTTTTCTGGACAACTGCGCACGAGTCTGCAACAGGACGGCCTTATTCCTTCAGCCCAGACAGCCATGGTGAGCCGGGTGTCCACGTGCACATCTGGAGCTCCCATCTCCTTCAGGGCAGATTTCCGGATCTCTGAGCGCCCCAGGGGCTCGCTTCTCAAAGCCGGGCTGCCTGGATGCGCCGTTCCCAGGTCTCCACCCTGCTCTGCGGGGCCGGGTTAGGAGGGAAGAGCTTGAGGGACTGGGCAGATTATTCTTGGCTCACCTGGTTCTTCCACACTCAGGATGACTGGTGGACACCTGTTCCTTCCCTTGCTTTCTGCGCTCTCTGTTCTGATCTGTTGCTTTAAGGTCCCCTGAACAATGTAACGGGAGGGCCTTCCCCTGGCTGGTTCAGCTGGGACATGATTCATCCCCTGTATTTCCTGGACATATCGGCAACCAGAGGTACTTCACTAGTGCTCATCATTTTCACTGGCACTGTTCTCGCCCAAGGGCGCAGCCTTTAAACAGAGTCCCAGCAAATGGACAAGGCCCCGTGCCCACCGCTCCTAAGCCTGTGCCTCTCACAGCTCTGCTCTTGCCAGGGCCCAAGGCCGTCACTCGCCCACGAGCACCATGTCTGTCCTCTGTCCGTGTCCCACAGCCCCGCACGTGGCTCCCTCCCAGCACTCGCTGGCTGGTACCCAGGTGGACCTGTCACTTCCTCCTGAGCCGAGATCTCCAGTCATCCTGCAATGCCTGCCAGCTCTGTCTCCCAGAAGGGTCCCTTCCTTACAAGCCCAGGGGTCACCGTCCTCATTGTGGTTACAAGAGAAGGTGCCGTGGCCTCCCCAGCTTCCTCTGATCTGTCCGGGCTCACTGCGGATTCCCGCAGCACCTGGCACACCCCTCACTGCCTTCAGCAGCCCTGTGCGGAACACCCGGGGCGGTGCAGTGTTCCAGAACTGCACCACCCAGCACGACAGCCACAAGCCACGTGTG